AAATTATCGTCACGTGATCGGTACGTGCCCGTAAGCAGAAATATCACGTGACCGGTACGTGTCCGTAGACTTTCCGGTCCGTAAGCAGAAATATCACGTGACCGGTACGTGTCCGTAGACTTTCCGGAAATTAATTAGGGTCGGTTAAAGCGGAATGAGTTTTAGGATTACCTTTTTGATGCAGTTAAGGTGAGTAGGTTATATAGATATCAAAAATGCAATTTATGTAGCATGTAGATCATATATTAAATATTATTTAATCAAAATTAATCGTGTTAAGCGACGTGATTTTAATGTCGAAGGTTATAATAACGAGATGTCGACGGAAATAAAGCAGTCGTGCGCGGTAAATTGTACTATTTATACGTGATATTTACGTGATCCTCTATAAAAGATGTTTATTTTTTCCTTTATTGAATAGCATTATATGTACACTTTTTCTGATTCGGACCTGAAAAGCTTTGATCAACCAGATAACCTATTCGATCAAGATTCTGAATTAATTATCAAAGATTATCATCGTAAAATTCAAGAAGAAGAAGCTGAATTTACGCGAGAGCTTAATAAATTAATCAAGATTCATGAAGAAAAAGTATAATTATACTACATTAACCTAATGTACATATACTTTAAGACGCGTTTATCCTAACGAAAATTTTTTTTAAAGATAAAAGATTTAATTCGTGAACGAAATTGGAAATTATCGAATTTGTATAAAAAGAATTCAATAATTAATCCTAAGCAAGTGGAATTTGATGAGTTATCTTTGAAATTTGAAGATGATGAGACATCAGAGATCAAAAAAACGTCTGCAGATGAAAATTATATAACACCGGAGAACAAAACCGAAACATCAGTTATAGATTTAGAAAAAAGTCTGGAAGACATGTGTATTAATAAGATTAATAAGACACCTATTTCTGTTCAGTCTATATCACCACTTTCAATTTCGTATCACGATCTTGATCCTGATGTTTATGATTGCAACGAAATATTGACATATTCTCCATCAGTTGATACCAAAACTGTTTCAAATGTTCTAGCAGATTTCACGATAATTGATGATGACCTTACATCAATTTCTCAGACAAACACTACGATATACAACGTCCTTCCACCACGAACAGAACAATTTAGTAATGAAAAAAAAATGCCAAATTATCAACGAATGTCAATTCCCGAGTTGAAGGCATGTAGTTTAATTTAATATGCTCAGCTTCGAATTTTTGATGTTGATCTATATATATGTTTTTTTTTTGCTCAGGTGGAAGTGGCAAAATATGGTATCAGGCCTTCTGGAAAAGAAACAATGATTCGTCAATTAGAAATTATATGGAATAAGATACATGAAAATGACAATGATGACGATTAGGGTTGCAATTCAAACTTTTTTTTGGGCTTGAATTATGATATTACCATGTAATTTGAGTTGGAGAATTGGATCTCTACTTCATTTTGATTCATAATTAAAATCCAAAATATATACCCCGTTTTCGATCAATAGTGTCAAGTTCAAAAAAATCAAATCAAATTTGTTAAATTACCAATTTATGTGTATTTCATATCAAACTAACTTTATAGAGATTAGAATTAAGGTTGGACTAGGAAAACCACCGTCTGATGCTTGCTTTCTTTTTCTAGTCCATTCCCCATTTAAGGATTCCCCGATTAATTATCAAATTGATTAATTTTAATTACAATTTTGGCGGTTGAATTGAAATGATCCAATTCAGATTCAATTGGAAAAAAGTTGCCCAATAAAATTTGTATTTTATGCACGTGATGTTATCCGATAAAATTGGATTAACGGTATAGGATGTTTTAATGTTTGGATTGGGCTCACTTAAAATTAGGTCCGGCCCATCTACCAAATTATTTTATGGAATGTCTGATTGACTGAACAGGAGGGAACGTACCCCGATCCAAAGTGAATCCCACACATGGTATGATCAATTAAAACTGAAATTATTTATACGTATTAGTTTTAATTGATCACACCATGTGTGGGATTCACTTTGGATCGGGTACGTTCCCTCTTGTTGATTGACTGATGTAAATTAATTAGTGTGATATTTCACTACGTAATAAAAAATTACTATGGTGCAAATCATTCAATCGCATCAAATATATTAAATGTTTCGCCACTAAGCAAGGAAATAATATTGATGATTATGGTACATGACACAATAACCAATGCATATACATTCCAGAACTTGTAGTAGTTTCTAGAATATATACAAAAATAATTATTAAAAGATTATGTATATAACAGTTATCATAGTTCGTATGTACGTAGCAAATGTTCATGATACATGTTGTGTGTTGTTTATTGATCCTTGTCAATTCAGAATTGACATGTCATTTTTGAACCTTTACCAATTAATGAATAATTTGTCACTTATTGTTGTGGCCATAAATAAATAGCTTTAATTAGTTACATACCATTCACATAAAGCAAAAAAAAAGCCTTTATAGTATATTTTTAAGTATTATTAAGTATTTTTAGAATTTTCTTATTTAATAATTATAATAATATAAATTTTTACTTTTTTGATTTGTGAATCACTTGATTAAATACTAGAAACATATAATAGTCAAAAAAAATATACTGTATAAAAATTGCCAACTGGTCATTATTTTAAAAGTCAAAAATTAATAATTTATCTAAAGGATTATATGTAGAAGCAAGTCAAATCTAAATAAAAAGGTTAATTTAAATTTTATAAAATTATAAAATAACTCTAGTTTAATACATATCATTAAAATGTAATAAACAAAATAATTACTTGCCTGTAGGGTTAAATTGGTTTATTTTAATTACTAATAAGATCAGTTCAATAGTATTTGTCAGTCATATTTAATCAGTTTCTGATTTCAAAAATAAAGTAATTTCATATAAATAGATTAGTAGATTATTAGCTATTATTATAATCAATTTTATATTTTATATTTAAAAAAAAAAAATTAAATTAAAAAATTTATAAAGTGATAAAAAAACTATTGAATTTTGAAACAACTTCAGTTTTATACATTAGCAAATTAATTTATATATGTTCAATATACTGTACTAATTATACTAGTAAATTTTTTATTAATCTAACTTTGTAGACATAAGATTGTATATGCAGTGTTTTTCTTCAATCTAGCTTTTGTTGGTGAAATCATTTGTTCAGCTACAGAAAAAGCCTGTTCTGAAGCAACACTAGTTGCTTGAATTAACAAATAATCATAGTTAATAAAACACAATTATGGATATTCTTTTGTCATGTCTGCTATTATACAAGAGATTAATATAGTTTTCTAAAAGTAATATTAAATATTTTTTTAATTCATCTCATAACTAATTTGTTGATGATAGATCTAATATTTTATTAATTTTTTGTTATATAGATATTATTAATATATTAAAAAAAAGGAAAGTGTAGTATTATTTTGTAATTGGTAAAAATAATTATTCATATTAATTAAATTATTAATATAAAATGTCATAATTAGTTGTAATATTTTAGAGTATTCCTCAAATTAGATACTAAATAAATTACCTTATTTTTTTCATTTTCATCTTTAAAAATATTGATAATTTTATTCTTTAGTCAATTAGTGATAAAATTTGTAATGTTTTATTTAAAATTGTTTAGTAATATTCTAATTTTTTGATAAATTATACTTTTTATTAAATTTTGTGAAAAGATATGATCACCCATATATCTAATTAAGTGATTTTAAATACATAAAAAGATAAAATAAATATAACTATAAGTTAGATAACTGAATGTAAAAAGAAAATAAGTAGCATATTTAATTAGTTCTAAGAGGATTATTATATTCTTTTAATATTATAAAATAAATATATAAATCTTTTTTTTAATTATAAAATTTTTATATCAATTCATTAAATCAAAACTAAATATCTTTATATTAATTTTATTATAATTATCAGTATTTGAATATTATTAATGAACAAGTTGATCATCAGCAGTAAGAAAGTTAAGGATAGGTTTTATACATTTTTATTTTTCTAATATATAAAAGATAGAGTTTTATTTAATTTTGATATTAGTTTTAGATACCAAATAATTAATGTTCTTGATATTGTATAATTCTTTTAAAATATTATTTATATGATATAAATTTTTTATATATAATATTAATAATTATATTTTGATAATAATTTTGTTAATTAATTTAATTTTTTGTAAAACAGCCAAATTCAAAATATGGGTTGTGTATTTATAATAAAAAAAGCTAAAATTGTTAAATTTTTTCTTAAGTTTTTTTATTATAGATGCATTATATACAATTATTGATAAAGTGTTATTAGTAGTTAAGACAAAAACTTTTTTATTAAATTAAACTTACAAAGAATATTATTATTGCATTACACATATGAATTCCTGTGTATCAAACTGTTATTGAAACAATATTAAGCAAAAAATATTTTAATTTTTAAAAATTATTAATATAATAAATGTTAAAATAAGAAATGCTAAGTTATTTGATACAGTTTACATATCTGAGATAAATAATACTTTGTCAGAAATATTGTTTATTACTAATTTTATTTATTCTTTTTTTGTTATATAGAGTTAAAATAAAATTCTTTATTATATACCAATTGTGAAGTTGATAATAAAGATTAAACTTTGCAATTATTTATCACAATGCTTTATTTTTTATAGTACTAAAAGGTTATATATCACTTATGATCTATTCTACAACATTATTATACTCTTATTATTTATTTGTTAAATATAGAATATAATAATCTTTTTTTTTGTTTTTTTTTAATACTATAATTTAATGAAATTCTAAATGATATTTTAATGATAAAGTTCTAATTATTAATGAAAATAAAATACTATACTCTTTATAAACAGGTTCTGATATGTTAATATTAAAATATAATTATATAGATAATTTAAAAATTTTTTTTTGTTTTGTAATTATAATTTTGTTAAATATAATTTGTATAATATAATATTATTAGATATATTTGATGCTTCATTTTGATGATATAGTGTATTTAAAAAATCAAATTCAGGTATGCTTAATGACTCATTTTAATTATTTTATATATTTATAAAAAATTGTTATTATTTATTATAAACTTATTTACATTCAGTATAACATAGAATATAATATAAGAATGCAACTTGTATATATTTTAAATAGACTAATTTGATCAAATATTTAATTTTTATAGTAATTTTTTAAATAAAAGCTTGATAAATTTATATTTTTTTTTTTTTTTTTTTTTTTTTTTGCTCTTAAGCAGCCACGCTAGTACTTTATTAAGATTCTTGCAACTATATA